GTTCAAGGTTTTCTAGGTCTAGAGTTTCAAGTCTGGTGGCATAAGGTATTCTGCAATGAGTAGAGGAGCGGAGAGCTTTTCTTGTGAAATATTTCTGGAATTTTTCAATTGTGTAAATATCAGATGCATGATACGGGTTCCAGACTGATGAGCTGTATTCAAGTATAGGTCTAGCAAATGTTTTGTATGCTCTAGTTAGTAGTGTGATATTACCAGAGGAGAAGCTACGTAGGATTAGGTTAACAACTCTTAATGCCTTTTTTGGCTATGTAGTTACAGTGGGCTCTAGCACTTAGATCATTAGAGATGAGTACTCCAAGGTCCTTGACAGAGTTTGCATCCTCAACAAGGTCTTGATTATTTAGCTTGTATTTTATTTTATGACTTTTTAAAAAAATTAATTTATATTTAATGTGGAGAAAAGCAAAGTTGTGCACCTGAGCAGGAAAAACCAAAAGGACAAGTACAGATTAGTGAAACCTGGCTCAAAAACAGGAACTCATAAATATAGGAGCAGTTGCTGCGATGGGAATAAAAATGTTGAAAAGCCCCAATGGCTGCATCCTTTCCTCAGATTGAACTGCCAGGAAAAAGCTAGGATGAAGCCACTATCATTAAGTTAGAACCTCTCAGGCATGGGGGGTGTGGTGGAGAACCCAACCCAGGAGCAGAATAGTAGGAAGAAACAAGCGTTGCTGTCAGTGGGAACACAATCGCCTTCCATGCTTCACGCTATGCCAGCATTTCTGATTTTTTTTAAAAAAAATGGATTTGGTGCAATTTCAAATGTGTCACAGCTTCGCTGGAAATACATTGATTCGGCTACCCAACAATGGTCTTGGTATAAATCACATAACAGAGGTGGGCTGCACTTACGTTACTAACCGGGTCACTGATTGTGAGCGTGCATGTGCTGTTTTGAGTATAAATTGTACTCGTAAACAGAATATTCACAACGCAGATAATTTTCTGTGGGAATCATTTATTGAAATGTTTAGGCCAAACTCTTGTTGGTTAGTCATACTGAAGTATAGTAAAGTGTTAATCTGCAGGATCAAATGTTTTCACATCCCCGCCCCCCCCAATTCTCTATTTTTCAAGAAAGAGAATAAGATTGAAAAATGCTCCATTGCAAATTGTTCAAGGACATAGAAATCATTTGTTAACTACCAACCCAGCATGTTTAGGAAGTGAATGAGAAGGGAGCAGAAGAAATGGTTTAGTAGCCTGCTGAATCACCTCCTTTCTTCCATCTCCTTCCTTTTCTTCCACAATATCAGACAATCGCTTGTGGGTTGTTGTTTTTTTCCAGAGGAGACTGTTTGTTTTGGCAGAGGCTGCTGCATTGCATTTCAAACAGGCACTTCATTATGTGACACAAACAAGCTGCTGTGCTAGTAGGCTAGAAAGAATGATGAAGAAAAGCCCCAAGTCTTTTGAGGGGCAGCAAGCGGAGATGCCAACCGTGACTTTTTCTTTCTCAATTGATCAAATTCAGGCACTTCAACACACTGTCTTTGTATGACTCCTAAATCAATGCCACTCCTGTATGATCCCGTGTGATCTATACCAAGGTCATTGTTGGGTGGCTGAAACCAATATATTTCCAGCTGTGCTGTGACACATTTAAAATCGCACCAAATCCATTTTTGTATCAGCAATGCTGGAGTTGCGTGAAGCATGGAAGGCAGACTGTTTTCCCAGTGACAGGAACACTTGTTTCTTCCTACTTTTCTGCTCCTGGGTTTGGGATTTTTTTTGTTTTTTGTTTCCACACCTGAGAGGTTCCAACTTAATGATTATAGCTTCATGCTAGCTTTTTCCTGGCAGTTCAATCTGAGGAAAGGAATGAGGCCATTGTGGCTTTTCAACTTTTCTTCTCCCATCAGAGCAACTGCTCATATATTTAGGCCAAACACCAAACACGTCTTGACTTAAGAGTATTGGGGGGGGGGGGGAAGGACAGGACATAGATGGGGGTGTCTTGTTTCTACCTCTCTTGGTTAATTAGAGGGATTAGTGATTGGCTCATGTGGTTTTTGGAGAGCTGTGGAGATTTTTTTAAAACACAGATTTATTTTTTTTTAGGATGACTTGGAGAGTGAAAATGTCCAAACTTTGAAAATGCACTTTTTTCCCCTCCACATTATATTAAGCATGTAGATTTATTTAGCACTTCATTGATCACCCACTTAAAATGTCTTAACAACATATAACTGTCAAGGCTGTTTTGTTCCTGTTTTAGTCCTGAAAGCGTCAACTTTTATTTCCCCAAAAAGTAATCCATTATTGTTGCCATTTTATAAAAAAAAAATATTTCTATGTATAGAAAACTGCCCCAAATGCACCTGCAAAATAATTTTCACTGAAATCCATTATTCGTATCCTCAAAAAAATGGTTTGACAGAGCCAATTTGATTAAGGTGTTGACCTAGAAACCAGGAAAGTCTGAGTTCCACTTTGGGCAAGAAAGCCAGCTGGGTGACCTTGGCCTAGTGAGCCTGTTTCAATCCAACCTACCTAATAAGGTTGCTGCTATGGGAAAAAATACGGGGAGAAGAAAGGGTCGTGCATGTTCATCGCCTTGAGTTAAACATAATTAAGACAAGGTTAAAAAAAAATCCTTTTTATATAAAAAAGCAATGTTCAAATAATTCCAGTTGGAATATAATGCTGCATCTTTCCCTTAAATGCTAAAATAAACATGACCTTGACTGATCAAAGAGGATGTGAGAGTCATTTCACTGAGTCATATACATTCAGTGTATTTACAGTTTGTTGAAATTACAATAATCACTTCAGTTCTGCATTCTACATAAAAAGACAATCGTTTTCCTTATGAAATATACATATTGCCAACCCTGTTATAAAAACCTAGGAAGGCAGACATGGGTTCATTTAGTTAGGAACAGAGGTGGTATTCAGCAGGTTCTGACCAGTTCTGGAGAACCGGTAGCGGATATTTTGAGTAGTTCGGAGAACCGGCAAATGCCACCTCTGACTGGAGATTTTACTGTGTCCTTCCTTTGCCACGCCCACCAAGCCACGCCCACAGAGCCGGTAGTAAAAAAAAAATGAATTCCATCACTGGTTAGGAAGTATTTATGTTGCAGTCATCTAGTACTTTCCAATGTTTTGGACTCCATCTCTTGCTAGTCCCGCTAATGACCAATAGTCCTTCCTGGCTATTATAGCAGATCTGGGTGTTTCATGGCCCACAGTCACCTCTGGCCTACTGGTGGTTCCAGACCTTCCTGTGATGGCTGGGGTTGAGGCATTGGTGCTGGGGTGGGATAGCAGGGCAGTGGTAGCAGTCTACAACTGTTTCAGCTGCTTATGCGCCCCTTGGGAAAAAAATATTGCCCTCCCGTGGACTATAAGGGCTTCACTTGAGACATCTAGACGGGATCATGATCTCCACTGATGGCCAAATCTGACTCTAGATTCTGCCTCGATTTACTCCCCAAAGGGTATTGGGACTTATGGGATGTCTTGAGTGAGAAGGAGTCAGACGCACTTCCACCCCTACCAGCCAACTGACTGTTCCATAGAAATCCTACTGCAGGCAAAACTACCCAACTTAAACTATATCCCATAACCCCTCAAAAAATGGAGGAATTGTAGGCAGAGATGGAAAAATTTTTTTACAAACTTTTAATTTGATTTCTATAGCCACTCATCTCAACGAGTGACTCTTGAGGACCGATAGTTCCCGAACTCAGGAAAAAGTCATACAGTACAACCACAGTTTTTCTATGTGCTGGAATTGTGCAGCTCCCAGAATTCATAGCAAGCAAATCTCAGTGCCCATACAAGTGGAAGTTTCAAAGCTGGGAAGCTCTTCAAGATGTATATATATTCTTCCGTCTATGGTTATAGCTGTATTCATAAGTAACAACAATAATGTATTATGCAATATAAAGTAAACATTCACAATGAGACATTCAAAAGAAAACAAAACGGAGGGGAAAAATGGTTTCTACATAAAGAATCCTTTGGAAAAGGAAAAATTCAGCTCTGATTATTTTAAAAAATTGCTGCGCAGGCTACAGCAATGAGTCATACCAGATGGGAGGTTATTGCAATCCTAATTAAAGAAAGCATACAGTACTTTTGTTTTAAGGCTCTGCAACAACCTTATTGGCCATAAACATTATGTTAATGTGCCATTTGGTGAGAAGAAACAATTCAGTAAGAAACGTATGCAGATGAAAAATAAAAGGAATGATTTAGCCAGAAATGGAAATTAACATGGCCCAATTCTACTTTTCAGAAAAATCTGTTGGCACATGTTGCCATCTGCATTAATTAAGAGAACTGACACCTACAATTTCTGCATCCCTTTTTAATATTGATTTGTATTTTAAGCATTTATGTATTGTGTTTTGCTTCTTTAGTGTTTAGAATAAATTGTATATATTTACAATGTTTTAAAATATAGTCAGACATATGCATTAAGACAGAACAGAGATGAATTTAACACTATGCTGACCTGTCGATCAAGTTTATCCCCATCCAAAAGGAAAAAAAGCTATTTATTAAAAAACCTTTATCCAGTGACAGAGAAAGGCGTGAAAATGGAACCTAAATTGCCACATTGCTTCTCCTTGAGGGAATCTGTCCATTTCAGTAGGTCAATTATAGGGTGATCATGCTCCAAATTCCTTCCTTAAATATTGCCATCTAGCCAACCATTTGGAAAATTTCTCCCACTGCCCCTGAAGTTCCGACAAGCCCACGGTGGTGACCTGGGGCATGGCACAAAAGCAACACAGTCAAATAAGCAAGAAGTGTCCCTTTAATACTTCCAACTTTGCCCCCAATGTCCAGGTTGCCTTCGGTTGGAGGAAAAAACTCTTCCAAGACAGTCTTTCAGTGGAGGAAATTGAGCCTGAAAACAAAGTCCATACAAACAGTAGATAAAAATCTACACAAAACACACTGCAGTAATTAACTTGACAGGGCAGGAGAAGGAATTGCAAATTTGAAAGCCCAGCAAAACACACACACAGTTGGGAAGATGCCAGGAACCCAGGTAAGCCTTGACAATACCAGATAATTTACGATTTTCTCCCAACAACTTTGCTGTGCACAGCCTCCCTTTTTAAACACTGTGTTTCCAGGTGCAGCTAATGAAGGGAATCAGGGCCCTTTCCTCCCCTGTAAGCCATGCAACTCACGTTGCTTGCTTTCAATTCCCCCCTGCATGCCCTAGGAGGAAGAGGGGTGGTCCTGGGTCTTCCTCTGAATTCCCTCTGCCTTGCTCTACCTCTCCCCTGCTCTACCCAGCCGGACTTTGCCCTTCCCCAGTTTCTTCCACAGACAATGGAGCCACACTCCCACTCCCCGTCAGTTGCTTGGCCTCCCCCTCGGAATCAGATTCTGACAGGGGCTTGACACCCACCCTTCTGGCTTTCTGAAAGGTCTTGATGATCCAGCTCTTCCTGCAAACTCAGGAGAATTGGCTGTTGATGTTTGATGATATGTTGTTCTGGGAAGTTCTTGGAGTTATTAAAATTATTATTTGCTGCTTATAAACTACTCAGGATTATGGGACATAAGATGGCTGGTTATGTAAATCAAATCAATAAATAAATTGTTATTTTTGTCTTGAGAAGGGGAGAGGAAGGTATGCCCTATAAGGTGGTTAAAATTTTCTTTTTGTTTCTTTTTTTGGACCTCAACTTTGAATTTCCTCAAAGGCTTAGTGAGGGATGTAATGCAATGTCAGTCACTCTTCAACATCTTCATCAATGATTTGGATGAGGAAATAGATGGAGAATTCACCAAATTTGCAGATGACACCAAGCTGGCAGGAATAGCCAGTACTCCAGAAGATAGGCTTAAAATACAGAAGGATCTTGACAGACTTGAACATTGGGCACTATTGAAAAAAAAATAAGGTTCTACATTTAGGCAAGAAAAACAAAACGCACAGGTATGGTATACGTGGTATCTTGCTCAATAGTAGTAACTGTGAGAGGGATCCTGGAGTCCTCATGGACTATCATTAAAATGATGTGAGCCAGCAGCTGCCAAAAAAGTCAGCAGTTAATGCAGACTTCTAGGCTGCATTAACAGAGGGATAGAATGAAGTTCACATGAAGTGTTAATACTACTTTATAAAGTCTTAGCAAGACCATACTTGGAATACTACATCCAATTTTAGTCACCATAATGTAAAAAAAAATGTTGAGTCTCCAGGAAGAGTGAAGAGAAGAGCAACAAAGATGAGTAGGGGACTGGAGGCTAAAACATATGGTTGCAGGAACTGGGTAGGTCTACTCTAATGAAAAGAAGGACTAAGGGAGACATGATAGCAGTGTTCCAATATCTCAGGGGCTGCCACAAAGAAGAGGGAGTCAAGCTATTCTCCAAAGCACGTAAGGGTGGGACAAGAAGCAATGGGTAGAAACTAATCAAGGAGAGAAGCAACTTAGAACTAAGGAGAAATTTCCTGACAGTTAGAACAATTAAACAGTGGAACAACAGTGGTAGGTTTCTATTTTTTTTTCTACTGCTTCTGAGAGTATGCTTTGCATGTACACTTGCGCTTTGCACGCATGCGCATGGCTCAAAGATCGCCCTCTGTGTCAATGGTGGTGAGCTGAGCTTTTTTTAGCTCAGCTGAGGCCCAGAAATCTGCTCTGCCATGCAAATCAGCTGAACTAAAAAAAACCAAGGGAATATAGGAGAGGTAAGATCCAGAGTGGGTGGGCGGGGCCAGCCAGAGGTGGTATTTGCCAGTTCTCCAAACTAATCAAAATTTCCACTACCAGTACGCCAGAACCGGTCTGAACCGGCTGGACACAACCTCTGGTCCAGAAGTTGTGAATGCTCCAACACTGGAAGTTTTTAAGAAGAGATTAGATATCCATTTGTCTGACATGGTATATGGTTTCCTACCTAAACAGGGGGTTGGACTATAACACTTTGAAGGTCCCTTCTAACTCTGTTATTCTGTTTTATTTTAATATTCCTAGTAATATAAATTATTTTTAAATAGAATACTATTCTAATTTCAATGCACAATTATAATAGGAAGCCCCAATCATTAAGCTCAGCAATTTATAACAAATTAAGCGTGTGTGTGTGTGTGTGTGTGTGTGTGTGTGTAAATGTGCCTCTGATAATTTAAAACCTTTTAACTTTCTATGTAATAATGTCGTGCTAGTCATGCATATACAGTTATTAAAGTTCTATAATTAATCTCAATTTTCTGGCCACATATTAATGCCAGATAATAACCAGAAATATGTTTCAAAAATATGGTTTTAGCATTATAAACAAAATCTTTTATATTTAGGCAAATAAAGTGTAATATCAAAATGTATTTGAATTGCCATGGCAATTTTTTCATATATTTCAATAGTTGTCAATCATTGCTACAGGTATTGTGTAACAAAGGCTAGCAAATTTTAAAAAAAACTGTTCGTATAATTATGTAAAATCATTAGACAGGATTTTGCAGTTTTAGAGAGTAGTAATTACAATGGATCTTCTTCAGATTCTCTTCTTTCACTCAGCCATTATTTTCACAGGCAAGCAATCAGAGTTGTTTGATGTTATTAGGACAGTAAAAATTGAAACAGTAGTTCCTTTTGACCAAGCAAAACTGAGACTAGCAATTCCATTGCTAAGCATAGTAGTTACTAAGCAAAAAATAAGAACATGACAATATTGGACTTATATTGCTTCCACTTCAAGAAAATCACAGTGGTCAATAAGCAAGACAGCACATGACCAATGTCTATTACTTGAAATTTCTTAAATTACTTGAAATTTCACTTTTGCATTCTCCACTAATTCTGATTGTTGGAAATCAGTTGTCAAGCATGTGAATAGCAATCACATGGCAATGGATGTTATGATAATGGTAAATGCACCTCAGTTACTAAGGTCCTGAATGGCGTTCACTTCACTGCAGAATAATAATATGGCTATAAATGAGAAGACTGGTAACAAAACTATTTTTTTCAACTGGTGTTAACTTTGAATTTTTTCGTTAAGTGAGGGATTTGGTAAGTGAGAACTACCTGCTCAGAAAAAAACTCTGTTCCACATCTCCTGATTGTACAAATAATGTTAATATTAGCTAGGTTTACTGTAATTACAATTCCTTTGCTTTTCTCATGTCTTCATTTCATTTATTTACTATTTCTTCTTTTTTTTCTGGTAGTCTGCATAATGCTGCTTACTCCTATAGTATGTATATATGTATGTACAATACTATTAGTTTGGACCAGAGTAGAGTAAAGTTAATTCTTTTTTGTGCCAGTGTTTCTTATTATATACAGCATAAAAAGATATTCCACACAACTATGATTTGGAAAGAGAATTATTAATTCTCCCCTGTTCAATACGTTAATCTCTTCTACATATAAACTTTAAATTCTTATTTCCATCTTTTCTAGAGTAATCCTTTAAAACATCAGGCAGTGACACCTTAAGCTGGCCAGACCTTTCAACCTATTGATAGTTATCTAGCAGGTGTCCAGAGTGAAATCTGTTGTGTTAGTCTTAATAAGCAGAGGGATTTGACAGGAAAAGAATTTTATTTAGCACCAACACCAAAGTCTGCCAAAATTTCATCTAAACACCCAGGAATATCTTGTTACACCCATACTGAAACAAAACACATTGACAACAGATGGGACAGTAAAAAAATATTGATAGCCACCCTATGGTGACAAAAAAAAGTAAAAATAGCACTGAAGAATATGGCAAGTTCATATTTGCTTGCTGGACATATAACTATAAATGTCAACTGTCCACTTCTATGGTAGAACATCTATAAACAGCAGTGGTCCCAATACAAATATCAAAGAATCCATTCTACTGGTTGGTTTTTCCATTATGAAAAGTGCCTGTGCTTCCAAAAATTATTATTAACAGACACATTCATGGTGAATGATTTGGTCAAATTATTTTTCAAGTACACTACTAATAAATTCATCCCTATCTACATTTATGATGACTGATATGCTCCAATAATTTTCATCTGCACTAGCAATGCTGATTTTCCCCCCTCAATTTCTTCCTACTTCTAATGCATCCGTTGGAAAGATTTTGCCCTGTTGATCTTATTAAACTGCAAATCCTTTTTCCCTCAGCCTATATACTGCCCATTATATTCGAGGTGCTGGTTATCATCCATAAAGACTTACATTGCAGGAAGTTTAGTTATTTGAGGAATTGCCTGTCTCCTGCGGTTTCTACCCAGTAAAAGCCAACAAAAGAGAGTTTGCTCCAACTGTCCTTGATCAATGTCACCTTTCACAACACAGGAAGCACACTTTCTCTTTTGTAGCACCTGTGCTGGAGATAGACAGAGCCAGGGAGAGGAATCAAATGGCGAATCAGTCTGGAATCCCTAAGTAGGCACAAGGGGTGAAGTCTCACTCCCCTTGAATATCATTGAATCTTATCTAATCTTACCCAAGTGCAAAGTTCCAGTTTGAGAAGATTCCTCTGTAGAGGCTTGAACAATAAAGCAGGTAATTGAACTCTTCATATGTGTATCTAATTGTGAATACCTGACAGCCTGTCTCTGAGATCCAGAGAGCTTTCACCCTGATGACATTCCAGAATGCTTGAAAGACTGGTTGTTCTCCAAGGTCTTGGGGTAAGATGGATGGAACAATTCTTGTTAATGGTTGAATATCTGTGGGTGTTATTCATTGAGATTGCCATTTTGTTATTTCCTTACAGATGAGATGTCCCATATTGGGACATTGGTGAAAACGGCATAGTATATGAAATTGAAATCATTTGTACAAAAAAAGTAAAATAACATTCCAGCAATATGTTTTAAATAGTTTTCAATTTCCTGCAATCAATTTTAAAGATTGACACTACTTTGTCTACTTTCCAAACTTGTGGCATTGCAGTAGTTTTAGATAAAATATTTTTTTTAAAGAAAAATCAATTACATTGGAATTACTTAAGAATTCTCAAATGGAATCATTCTTCTTTTTTTTTTTTTTTGGTTTGTCAATTTGGAGCTATTCCACCACCTCTCCAAAAAATGTGACATCAAGTGAAAGGTATAAAAGTTATCCTGCATTTAAATTATATTGTAGACCTAAGAAATTCTAAAGATTTTACATATCATCTTCTAATCCATATTTTAACAAGATTTGCCTCCAACAGAACTCTGTACATGTGCAGATCTGTACATTGGGGAAACAAAATGACCACTTCATAAATGTATGGCACAATAAAGGAACATCAAAGCCATCAGGACCAGATTCACCAATCCATCTGCATTTAAAAGACAAGGGCCAATCTTTTGAAGACAGGAAAGTCCACATTTTGGACAGAGAGGTCAATAGGTTTGAAAGAGGGCTCAAAGAGGCCATCTATGTCAAAGTTGAACAGTCAACAAAATTGAACAAAATTAAACAGCAGAGGGGACAACATCATCTTTCTCCAGTCTACAACACAGCCCTTTCAACAGTTTCAAGAAAGCTCCAACCCATTTGCATCACTCAGGTGACCCTCAGGTGACCCTGGTGACACAATAAACCTCCAGGTGGCTAAATTTCCAGGTGGCTCTAGGTTGCTAAAAGAATGAAAATGATCAGCTGTCTGCAAGGAGTATAAATCTTTCCATTCTCCACCATCCAGTCAGAGCTGAAGAAGCTTCCTGGATAAGAAGTGAAACATCTTCAAGAAAATCCAGTTGTCTCTTTAAAAAACACATTTGGGCCACGCTTAGTAGTATAACACGACAACCTGGCTAGCTGTACATAAGATTATGTAAAAGAAAGAAATGTATGTAAACATTTTCCCAATCAAATCTTATGGTTCTACAACTCTATGAAGTCATTTGATTAGCACAACGGATTATGTGGACTTTCCTCAGAAGTAATGCAGTTTCCTATTTCCCAATTTTGTTGTGACCTTCACCAAATTGCCTTGACCATGCAGGTTTGTAATAAATGTGCACATTAGCAATGCTGGAAGCATTGTTCTGCTTCTTTGTTTTCTAAATCATCTCACTGTTACTATAGTTACATTGGAGTAACTACATTTTAAGTGTCTGCAGCACAATTTGGCGAATGATCTATCTGTCTTTCAGATCTATAACATAGCCTAGTCTTGGGATGTTGGAGGAATTTATTTAGTTTAGAGCAGGGGTGTCCAACCTTGGCAACTTTAAGACTTGTGGACTTCAACTCCCAGAATTCCTCAGCCAGCTTTGATGGGAGTTGAAGTCCACAAGTCTTAAAGTTGCCAAGGTTGGACACCCCTGGTTTAGAGGATTGCAAGTCATAGTCTTGACTGTATGTCACTATATTGTATGTTCACCTTAACTGTTTGTAATTATAGCAATATAGACTCCCGACTAGCACCATTTCACCTTGTTCTGCTAGTCTAGAATGAATGCAGTTTCTCAGAGCAGCTTTACGATTAACTCCCTGTGTTCCAAATGTTATCCTTTGGCTGGAGGCAGGCATGATTAAGCTAAAGTTTATCTCACCTCTCCCAAACTGTGCCTAAAAGTAGCAGGTAACGTTAGAAAGTTAATTCCTCCTCACAAACTCTTCTAAGATACTTCTAAGATATCTTGATCTTCCTGGATCAAGGTAGACTGAAACCAATTCTCCTCTTTCTTTTGCATCTTGTATCATCTTATTTGTCACTCATGTTCTTTTCCGCTGCATACAAATTTAGATATCTCTTCCTTATTGTGCATCAGCTGCCAAAACAGATGTTGTCTGAAACAAAACACCAGTCTAATAAAGATATTTATTTTTATCACAGAAATTTTCCCCAGCAAAGACATTTGTAGCTTCTCCCATTCTAACATATCTTTTTAACTTCATTCCATTTGTTGTTGTTAGCTGCGAAGTATGTCCGACCCATCGCAACCCCATGGACAACATTCATCCAGGCCTTCCTGTCGTCTAGTATCTTCTGGAGTCTGTTGAAGCTCACGCCTACTGTTTCATTCCATATCTTAATATAATTATTTTAGATAACATGCAATTCATATTGGTCCCAGTGCTACCCAAATACAACCTTCATCTCAGCTTTAAAATCCATTTGCTTCAATTTTGTTTGATGTTATATTTTCATATATTTATAACATTTCCGTCTTCTGTTGATTAATCTTAAAGCCTGCTAATGCACCAAATTCTTTTAATCTTCCCATTAATATTTCAATTCTCTAAAGAATCTTCCAAAACCAACACCAAATCTGCTCTCAACTTCTTTTTTTAATCTTTATTCCCAGAATATGGTCTCATTTTGTCTTACAATCCATTCAGTATTTCAAGAACCAAAAGAAATAGAAGATGGGTAGGAAATGGAAAGCAGTCTTTTTCCTTTTTGTATTTCACATGACTTAGTTAGATCTCATATGGTGTTTTCTGTGACATGCAAATTGATTTTATCCATTTTATAAAACTCTCTCCAAAATCCATATTTTCCCGAAACAGGAAAGCCCAGTTCAAACTGTCAAAGGTCTGCTCTGCATCTAAGAAAATCAGTGTGGTTTATTTTTTATTAACCTGCTCGAAAGATTGCAAAATGTCCAACACATTTCTAATGTTATTCTTGTAATGTCATTGTCCCTAAAAACCCACAAATATGAGCCTGTAGTATGTCACAATAAAAGCCAACACAACCCTAGGATGCATTACCAGAGGGATGGAATCAAGCAAAGTGCTAGTACCACTTTACAAAGCCTTAGTAAGGCCACACTTGGAATACTGCATCCAGTTTTGGCCACCACATTATAAAAAAGATGTTGAGACTTTGGAAGAAGTACAGAGAAGAGCAACAAAGATGATTAGGGGACAGGAGACTAAAACATATGAGGACTGTTGACAGGAATTAGATATAGATAGTCTAGTGAAAAGAAGAACCACGGGATACATGATAGCAGTGTTCCAATATTTGAAGGCCTGTCACAAACAGGAAGTCAACCTATTTTATAAAGCACCAGAAGGCAAGACAAGAAGCAACTGATAGAAACTAATCAAAGAGAAATCCAACGTAGAACTAATTGACAGTGAGAAGAATCAATCTGTGGAACAACTTGCCTTCGGAAGTTGTCGGTGCTGCACCACTGGAGGCTTTTAAGAAGTGACTGGACAGCCACCTGTTTGAATAAGTATAGGGTCTTCCGCTTCAGCAGGGGGTTGCACTAGAACCCACTAGGTGCCTTCCAACTGTTCTATTCTATTCCTAAAAATACCATAGTAGTATATAGTAAGCGTTCCATCTATAATAAGCAGACTATCTTCAGGCCTATTGGTATCCATCTTAAAGCAGTAACTAGAAAAAATATATTATTTAGTGAAATGTTGTCAAAGATGTATCCAAGTTGGATGAATAAGACAGGTCATTGGGGTGATGAATCCTGTGATAATGTACCAAGTATAAGGTGGCATATCACACAGCATGAAGTTTTTCTCAGAATTTACTACAAGAAATTTTGATGAAAAAGAGCAGACTTGTGTAAATTCTTTTCACAAGTCGCCTTAGGTGTTAACACACATTCCGGGTTGCTTATAGCTTTCTCACTTTTCTTCCAAATTATTTTGGTGAACAATGCAGGGATCCTCCACCCATTCCTCCAGGATTCACAGCCATCAAGGTGAATGTAAACAAGTTGATTCTTTTTTTATTAGACATGTATAACTTCTCACTTTATGTTTCAGAAATTGTCACTCAGCCTCTCTCTCTCTCTGACATTTCTCAAAATATTTCAACCATTTTTCAGTGCATATATTCGAATTGTTCTTGCATTGCCTCTCAAATAATGAAATAAGAAAACCAAGAAGTAATGTCCCTATTATTTTCATGGATTTTTAAAAAATGGATAGAAAATACTACATTTCATGAGATAAGGGGAAATCAGCAATATGATTTGCTTCAGCCTAATCTATTACTATAAGAAGTTTTGTTGTTTTTGTTTTTTTAAAAATATATGCCATAAATAGGAAGGTGTCACATTAAGGATGGCAGAAATCTATTTTGTTATCAGGTCAATAACAATTGAATATAACCTTCTAAACACATACGCGCGCACACACACAAATATAAGGTGAATTCACAGTTGCCAGATTGAAAGATCAGTCACCTAAGAACAAAATTGTAGTTCATGTCCTATCACATTCAATCATTGATTTTCAAATTTTTTAAAAAAATCTTTTAAAAAATAATTATTATATAGCCAAAGGTGAGAGAAATACTTTTTTCTCATCTTATTTCCAGTAGCTCCATTTCAGATTTGGCCATCATGTATTTTCAGTACACTAAGTAAATGTGCAAATGGAACAAGTTACTTACATGACTGAGGTGTATATAAACACTTGCCACTTCCAATTTCATTAATTCATGCATTTACAGTACAGTTCAAATTCAAATAACTTTATTGTGGTTATTAATCAGCAGATAATATATATGTTTCAAGTCATATATTTTAAAAGTACAGAATTTCCACAAAATTAGTACATTCATAAGTAACTGCATATAATACCTATACATACAAAAGGAATAATAAGTCAAAGCATCCATTTTATTATCAATAGGATAATTCCAAAAACAACCTCTTTATTGCAACTTTCCACTATTTAATTCAAAATATTCCCTGTCTACAGCTCACCTTACAGAAAAATTAGATGTTGCAAATATTTCTAACTTTTTATATTATTTGAACAATATTTCAGAAATTACTTTCATGTTCTCTTTTCTCTCTTAATTTTCTTTCTTTTTCTTAAATGCCAGGATATTTTCTTCTATAGTTTCTTCTCAAAGAAATTTTACACTGTACTGTGATGAATGATTCATGCCTGGTCAGTATATGATATTCCAAGCTAGCTTCATCATTCATCATGAAAGGAAAGTATTTTCAAGGATAAATAAAATTAACCAATAAAAACGCATGCAGTTAAGTATAAGTATAGTAAATTTTTCTGAGTTTGGATTATTTTGTGACTTATCTTTCCTTCAAAGAATTCTATTATTTGAGATCACTCTTAAGATACAAATATAGAAAGGGGGGAAACTATTCAATACAGACTGGTATACTTCATACTAAAGTAGAAAGTATGTAAGTATAAAAAGAAAAAATGAGCTTAGAATGTATATGGAAAGAGAGAATGAAGATATATGAGATAGAGTACTATAAGAAAAATAAGATTTAGCCTATGAGTGAGAATTGTTAGTTGTCTATCATTTGTATATGTAAAATAAAAGTATATATTATGATAACAGTGTTTCACGAAATATATGTTTCAAGTGAAGTTAATAATATGAAAATCCCAAATACCAGTGCCAAATTAATAGATCAAATTATTTTTGTTAGAATAGATATGGCAATTTTTTCAACTGCTTTTTATATGATGAAATTAAGTAAGGTGAAAAACATAAAAGCAAGATATACCTAAGCAAATCAAAGTGCAAGTGTTATAGAGGAAAGAGAATTTTTAAATGGAAATGCAGTTATTCACCAAATTTAGTTATTCTTATTTACTACTGAATCAGGCTTCAGTTTCTTACATCAAGCAGTACTTCATAAAGCACTGTCAAATCAGTGCTTTATGAATCAGTAGAAAATGATTATACCCAGGATATTAAAGACATAGTAATGGAAGAAAGTATTGTGATATAGTTATCTACACTATATTGTTAAATGAACATTCTAAGGCTCAGTGTAGTACTAAAAATATATTGGCATACAGAAGGTGAGAGAAAAACGTAGTTCCTTAAAAAGTTGTTTTCTTGCTTTCTTCATTTAATATTTATTTTTAAAAACTCTCAAAAGTTTAGAGATAAGAAAGTAAATTACAGATGGAGATAGAATATCTTTGGAAGCTTAGTCTGCATCAAAAGCAACATCAACAGCTGCAGCAGAGAATTGGAATTATAATTGTCACAACACTTTAGAAATAATATTCTCTGCAGCTGCAATAGAAAATGTACAGAATGTAATAAAAAAAATGTCTCTTAAAAAAAACATTGTGTACACCGATTATTTACTTGGCTATATGAGATTTACTGTATCTGAAATCTAGATTCCAATTCCTTCACAACCCCCAAGTTTTTTTTCCCTTTATGAAAGTGATTCTGTTTTGTTTTGTTTTTTATTTTATTTTCAGAATGTTTTAGAATATTTTCAGAATTATTTTATGGGAATTTAGAATCACAAGGTATCACAAATATTTAGTAACACATCAGAGGTGGTAATTCAGCAGGTTCTGACCACTTCTGGAGAACCCGTAGCGGAAATTTTGAGTAGTTTGGAGAACTGGAAAATGCCACCTCTGACTGGCCCCACCCCCATCTATTCTCCGCCTCCAAAGTCCCAGTTAATCAGCTGGGTCTTCTTTTGTTGCCCTGCGCAAGAGAATGGAACTGGAAAGCAGGTTAGTGGGTTGCAGAGGGAATGGAGATTTTTCAGTAATCTTCCCCTTTCCACACCACCAAGCCAGGCCCATTAAGCCAAGCCATGTCCGCCACACCACACCACCAAACCACGCCCACAGAACCAATAGAAAAAAAAATTGAGTCCCACCACTGTAACTCATCTACCATATTTCTGCAGCCTTGATGTAGAAAAATCTCATGGAAGACTTTTTCTTTTGATGTCTTTGCTTGGAAGTTCCTTTGTAGCGTAGAAGTCAGTGAAAATGAATACCATTAGAGAGACAATGGTACAGTGAAAATAGTACAGCTACACAAACAGAGCTATTTCCTTGTTAGCAAGAATTCCAAATCCCATTCATAAGAATATCATTGAAATTTTCTTTTTCCTCAAAAAATATCTCAAAGATGTTTTGGACTGGACTGTTTTTTCCTCGAGGGAGAAAAATAAAATGCTTTGCTTCTCATCCATGAAGCTTCATCAGTTGTGATGGCGAAGGTGGGTGAGAGAATGGAAGGATAGGTACTGATAGTTAGACTGGATGCTGAGGGATGGAAGAGGAGATTCTGACCAGATGATGCAAAGAGAGAGAGGTGGAGATGGAATCATTGTATTTCTTTGCAGGCATCTGGTCGTTAGCACTCTCCCTGAGAGCTCTTGAGGCCACTTGAGGGCTTATCTTTGCCATTAAACCCCCCAGTGGCCTCAAGGCCAGATCGCTACAAAGAAATACAATCCTTTCATTTCCCACCATCACCATCTGGTCAGAACCCGTCCTTCCATCTCCCCACCACGTAGTCCCAACTATCTTTCCATCCCGCTTCCCGCCCCATCACAACTGATAAAGCTTCTTGAATATTTTGTTCTTCTTCCTCAAGGAAAAAACACTCCAGTTGCCTTTTGAAAAAGCACCTTTGAGACAACTATAGTCTGGATGCCTGAGAATCTCCTTAAACATTTCTCAAAAAAATATTTCAAAGTGATTTTTCTTCCACCTGATTGAATAATCAAATAGCAATAACTAAACGTTGTTCATTAAGTTATATTTTCATCACAATAAGTGCCCCAGAACAATATCTTATATCAATATATTTTCTGATGGTATGGAGTTTTGAACTTTTGCTTTATGGCATTATATTTAATATTTGCTATTCTAAAAATAGTTGATTAAATGAGGTACAAAACAGTATGTGGTTGATGACTGGCACTAAACCGATTGATTTTATTATTTATATATGTAATATATATTCTGGAAGTGGATAGTAATAAAACAATAGAAGGATCAGTTTCTTATTAGAGGAAAGTTTACACCTTTTAGTAATCAAAATAGCATAATATATCAAAACTAGACAGCAGAATTCACAGAAACTCTCATCTTTTCAAAGAAAATGAAAAGAAAACATTATTTACTTGCATAAATTCATCACAAGCATTGCAGGCATCTAATTAATATTATTTTAAATTTAGAACAATAATGTATTATGTTTGCCAAGAGGGATTGTTAGTATTCTGATAAATTGCTGTTATGTTAATAATAGGTTTTTCCTTTAGTGAAGAACTGTGGGAGTGTGTTTCCATTGTGATAATAAATGATTATATTCTTTCCACAGTACAGAAGGCTGTGTCTGAGGTGCCTAATTCATCTTTTTGTCTGTACCCATAAAATTCAAGTTCTTTTTCCATACTTCTTTCCATGCAGTTTTGACATCCCATGCCATATTGTTGGAGGGGAAAGTATTCAGATCACCTTGAATCTTGCTACAGACTGTGGTCTCTCGTAGCAAAACACATGGATATGAGCAGAGCTAAGTCCATGAAGAGCATCAGGAAACAGATGCTTAATATTTTAGTTTGGATATTTTTATCCTTGGTATATCTCATAAATTGCTGAAAGTATTTCTTTTATAGAAATGAAATGAATGTTCAAAGAAGAAATTAAGGAAGTTATGCGATATGATGGCAAGCCTCCATTCTGATTTTTCCCCTCACATTGGGGAACAGAAAGTGGATGCTAGTCCTTCCTATAGAAAATAGACAGAAAGGAAACTACAAAATATCAGTCTTCAAAGCAGAAGCAATGGCATCAATAAAAGGGGAAGAGCTTTGCTTGTTATCTTTCCTCCCAATGATTTTAGTGGATGATAGGATAAAGAGTTGAATATGATGGTGGGAATGACTTTGGGGAACAGGAGGAAGATCTGTTGCCTAGTGTCAGCCTTCAAGATCTTCTATTTCTGCTTTGCATCTTTCGGCTGCCATAAGTAATGGGGGGAGGAGTGGGGACACATATGGGAAGCGAGCTGGAGGTGGTATAAACTAGCATTGTATAAACTGAGGAGGGGGCAGAGTGCATTCTTGCTTAGGTTTCTATTTCTTGCTTAGCTTTCTTTTCTCTGCGCAGCTGCAAACCTTTATCAAAGTATGCCAAGGTCAACGGACAGTAACTTCATCACCACCTGAAGATGTCCACATGATGATATTCACAACTTTTAATTGGAAGAACCATTTGAACTATTGGGGGTGGGATCAACTCCATCACTTTGTATATGTGATTTACGCGCCTAATTCCTCAGATTCAGAATTCTACTGTAGCTACCACGTCATTTCCAGTAAAAGATATCTTTTCTCTAATTAAAAGAGTCTAAGTATTTCTTTCTTGGATTTTGAATGGAGCACAGCCTGACACCTAGCCTGAAGGAAGCAATGCTTCCAGTTTGTCTAGTGGTTAAGGCATTGGGCCAAAAAAGTGTGAGACAATGAGTTCAGTTCAAGTCCTACCTTAGTCATGAAAGCCAGATGGGTGACTTTGGGCCAATCACTCTCAGCTGACCTTACAGGGTGGTTGTTGTGGAGAAATAGGAATAGGAAGGTGTGTTGAATATGTTCAGCACCTTGAGTTGTTTTTAAAAATAATAATAAAGGCAGAATAAACAATCAAACTGAATCTCCCCAAATTGGTAGTCTATCATCTCAGCTCAGACATTATCATATCTCTTTGTTTGATGGAGAAAACCAAGGATAATATTGTCCTATTATTAGTTTTTCAAATTTAGTTAGAAATTAAAATAAATGAATAAATTGGGGGTCATATTGTTAACTAGTCATTTTCATGGAGAATTTAACATCATTAATTTTTATTCTTTATTGTTACTTTGATTTTATTTGTAGTCTCTGGACTGCCAGAAAAACCTAACCACAGCTCTTGGTCAGAAGCAAGTTGAGTATGTTGTTGTATGGTTTGGGTCAGTGGTGAAATTCAGCCGGTTCATACCAATTCTTTAAAACTGTTGGTTAACTTTCTGAGCAGTATGGCAAACCTGTTGTTGGAAGAAATCTCCTCCCAACAGCCTTTTGTTTTAGTTATAGTTATAAATACATGAAATGGATATGAATAAGAAAAAAAGAAACAATAGGACAGGAACGGTAGGCACTTTTTGGTGTGTTTTTGCACGCCCCCTAAAGACCTCTTAGGAAAGGGGTGAGGTCAATAGTAGACAGTCTAATGTTGAAGATTTTGGGGTGTTTGGGGAAGAAACCACAGAGTCAGGTAGAGTATTCCAGACATTAACCACTCTGTTGCTGAAGTCGTATTTCCTACCATCAAGTTTGGTGCGGTTTATCTTTAGTTTGTATCTATTTGTGCTGTTGTATTGTTTTGATTGAAGCTGAAGTATTCATTGATAGGTAGGACATTGCAATATATAATTTTATGTACTATACTAATACTTTATTTGCGGTCACAGACCAAAACACAAGTACAACAAAAGAAGAACATGGGAACATTAATCATGAACAATTGGTCACCAAAAACTTAACTAAGGGGAACTACAGCGTTCTCCTCTGATGGTATGTACTATACTTAGATCGAACCAAAGGCAGCGTAGTTCTAGGTTGTCTAGGCCTAAAATTTCAAGTCTCGTGGCATAAGGTATTCTGCTACGAGTAGAGGAGCGGAGGACTCTTGTAAAATATTTGTGGCATGTACTAATTTTATTGTGATCCTGACAAGATGGGAAGGCCTGAACCTGGGTCTCCAAAATACTTTGTTAATTTGTCTCTTTAGCTCAGCATTTTGTAGCCCAAATATGCCCACCCAACTTTCTGGAGAGCTTAAATGACCCCTCTGTAAAGGGTTTCACTTTATGAACAAGAGTTGGCTGCTGATAGTTATCATTGCATTTTCACTAATTTAATTCCTCAAGGTGCTCTGGCACCCTGGCTGATTTGTAACTCCGGGTTGTAGGTATTACTAATGAAAAGGAAGGTATTCAAACAGAATGTTTAGGTTTCCCTGATGGCTGTGGCTATTCTTGATCTTCAGTCTGTATTCCTCCATTTCTAATCTAATGATTGTATTTAGGGAAGCATTTTGCAAGCAAAGAAGCTTTTTGTATTTTTGTACAGGCAATCCTTGACTTATAATAGTTCATTTAGAGACCAAAGTTACAATGGCACTGAAAAAAGTGCTTTATGACCATTTTTCACACTTATGACCATTGCAGCATCCCCACTGTCACAAGAGGCCAAGAAAGGCGAAATGCCCCTCGGCGTGAGTGATGTTAAGTTGGCCACACCCACCCAGCTGGTCATTAGGGCAGAGAACCGGTTGTTAAATTATTTGAATCCTACTATTGGTTTCGTTGTTGGTCAAGCCTACTTTTATATAGACATATGTTGATCCATGAAATGTTTAATCAGATTTTAATGCTTTCTTTTTCCACTGATTAATATTGATATGTGCTGCATTACCACCTAACACTAAATAAATGTTTACTTGACATTCTTCTGGTCAGCTAATCTCTCTGTTTTTCCAAATGTTTAACTATTTATTTTACAAAGAAAAGGGATTGAGATGGTATTCCCCTAAAAAATTAGCATCAAGTCCCAAATTTTACTTGTGATCACATTGGTTGCTTTTGCACTAAATGTGCTGTGAACTAGTCAATTGCTTTCAAAGATTGATTCATAGCCCACAGTTGCATATGAAAATCAAGTTTATATCTGCTAAATTGAAATTTAATCCCCTTTATGTGTTTTATGCAGAATTGTCATTAAATCATAAAAAGTAAAAACACCTTTGTGGCATTGTATTGGCTACTGGTGGTCTAGGGGATTGAGGTTGAGTTTGGAGAAGGAATAATAGCTTAAGGCGTTGTGTGGGCACTTTAGATTCCACCCGACTTTTCTGCAATCACTTTCTCTTGGTAAAAATTTCCTTTTGAACTATCACTGTTGCAAGAGACAAGCTTTCCTGAGAAGATAGTTGAGGCAGGTCTGTCATGCCCCTGGTGGAGACTGATTCCGAGGAAGAGGAGGAACAGCCAACAGGGAATGGAAGTGGGGCTCCAGAGGTGGTGGAGGAGGCTGGGGAAGGGCAGAGGCCGGCTGAGCAGTCAAAGGAGGACCCAGGCCTATCCCCTCTGCATCCTAGGGCATTCAGGGAGGAGAGGATCAGGGTAAAATGTGGTCTACTTGGGAGGAGAAGGCCATGATCCTCTTCATTGGTTGCAGGTGTGAGATCTGCATAAAAGGTTGGACCTGCATGCTGACAGAGGCTGGAGACAAATTAGTGTTTTATTCCTAAAGAAGGTTTATCTTGGTTGGTGTTCTTCCAACGGACTGTACCTGGTTATTTTCCTGAAGTTGGCAATTATCTATCCTGGTCTGTTGTGGAACTTTATTCAGTGCGGTTTGTTTTTGGTTTTTGCTTCATTATCGGCTCTTTGAATTTGAACTGTGTTTCTTTCCTTTGAAATGTTATTTTGAAAATAGTTTAATTGTGAACAATTAAACAGTGAAGCCAAGTTGAAGGCATTAAAGGACTTTTATTTACGTTTTGGGTTTTGTTATATTTCTGATATACTCTGGGTCATCACAAGGTCATTAGGTGGAATCTGGATTTCCCCGCAAAGTCTTAGGCTATTTTCCCCTCTTTAAAACCCACCCCAATCCATTAGTCTACCAGTAGTCAATAAAGGTAAAGATAAAGGTTCCCCTCACATACATGTGCTACTAGTTTCTGGCTCTAGAGAGCGGTGCTCATCTCCGTTACAAAGCCGAAGAGCCAGCGCTGTCTGAAGACGTCTCCATGGTCATGTGGCCGGCAAGACTAAATGCCGAAGGTGCACGGAACGCTGTTACCTTCCCAACCAAAGTGGTCCCTATTTTTCTACTTGCATTTTTACATGCTTTCGAACTGCAAGGTTGGCAGAAACTGGGATAAATAACAGGAACTCACTCTGTTATGTGGCGGTAGGGATTTGAACCGCCAAACTGCCGACCTTTCTGATCAACAAGCTCAGTATCTTAGCCATTGAGCCACCATGTCCCTGCTCAGTAGCCAATGCAATGCCACAAATACGTTTGGAGAACTACGAGGAATTAGCTTGATAGCAGTTCACTCTCGGGGCGCTGCATACTTGGTAACAGTCTGGAACCAGCCGGGAGGAAGCCCATCCACTGCACAGACCTGGCCTTCCCTCCCTGGATCTCCACATTACAGCAAAAGCGAAAGTATGCAAAGAATTAGCCTCCAACAGCTTTCTCTCTCCTCCTCCAGAATTACAGCATTCCCCTATGGGGACCTGACATACTAAAAGCAAAAAAGTGGGGAAAACTGGTATATTATTGGCCCCTTATCTGAAATAATAACAGAACCATAATATTTCCATCACTAAGTTGGTCAGGGAAAATAGAATATAATGTAATGTAATGTAATATAATAATCAAAGTGTCTGTTAAACGGAAAAAAAAAAGGATGGCTTGACTAAATATTTTTATGTGCTTTTTGGAGGAACAATCAAATATTAAATAGGCCACCTTTCCGTAGGAAAAGTAGGATAATTTGAGATATGGCTCAGCAAAAAGGGACAAGAATTTAAAGAAAAACATCCAAAGCATTTTTAATAGTTTATGCAACCTTCTTTCTGCTAATATATGAACATAACAAAATATTTCTTTTGGGATATTTTGTAATTAAAATCAGAGGTAAAAAAAAATTAGAAGAATAAAAAAATAACATTACTTTCATAGGTGGTATTTATTTGTTTCTTTGCATTGGATCAACATGCTGTCATAGTTATTTTTATTTCATGTAAACATCACATGCATTTCCAACTAGAACATAATAAAAGTCTGTGCTATTCCCTTTCACATTCTAAAGCTTTGTGAAGATAGTCTCCACAGCATGGTATGGTTATCCAGATGTCCTCAAGTGAACTGCTGTGGTATCTAAGTAACCGTTTTTTTCATGGCTCTTTTAGACAGTCTAAAATGCTTCAAATGAACCTCACACAGGAAATTGGCCCTGGATATCCCTATGCGAGGCTTATCTGGAACTTTTTGATTGTGTGAAAAAGCTTGGAAACAATAGCTTGACAGAGCTATTACATGGATGTTTTTAATTAAGTTGCACATAATTTTAATTTCTAATATGGGCCTTGCTCTCTAATACATTTTGATATGAGAAGCCAGATTGCATTATTTTATTCTCACAAAAATTCTAAAACTCCCAAAGTTCTGAAAATTGTGAAATGTGGACAACTAGCCAAATACAGAGAGAAGCCTCCACAAGCTTGAAATGTACAAAGTCATCAGAGTGGCCACTGTAGAGATACTGACACCTGTAGCAAATTGAAATTTTGTATTCATGCACAGAAAATATTCATACGTAAAGAACAATGTTTGTGCAAGTTATCGGAGAGTCCAAGTTTTCAAAAACATTGTAATGTTTTGGTTATACAGAAATCTTATTATTTTATCAATAAAATGTAATGCTTTTAAATTTGTCTAAGAGGAGAATTGTTGGGCATTCAACTTCCAATAACTGATCAAAATAGGAAACTACTTCATTTCATAATTCTATGGAGACTTTAAATATAGAACCACTAAATACTTCGTTTTTTCCTCTGTTGATTCTTATTATTTTCCCATGTTTCTCTGGTGTTTCTGTCTACTCAATCATTCCAATGGACTTTAAACATGTACTTCTATTTCATTTTTGGAAGTTTTTAATTGATTTTCTTCCTTATTCTGCATAATAATCGTATATTACACTATTTGCTGATACAAATATAGCTAATGGTGCTTAACTCACAATAATTAAATTGTGCTATTATTTTTCTGTAACAAATATAATTGACTATAACTGGATTAGATTTCATTGGTACTGTATAGGTACATTATTGTGATAATCTGTTCTGGCTAATACATGAAAAAATAAAGGTATATGTGATTATTTATTATGATACCTAAGAAACAGTGGAGGGAAATATATTATTATATTGTATTGCTATATTGTATTGTATTGTATTATTATATTATATTATATTATATTATATCATATTATAATATTATTTCAAATTGTATCATATCATACTAACTTTAATATTAATTTAAGATTAAGTGAAAAGAAAGCGTTTGTTTAGATTTCCTTGGATTTGGACTCTGAACAAGTCATTTAAAGATGACTGAGAGTGATCAATGTGTTTTTTGGGGAGGGTGTTAGATCAAATAAGTTAGAATCAGTTTTTAGCATCATTAGTCTCAGAGGTGGTATTCAGAAGGTTCTGACCAGTTCTGGAGAACCGGTAGCGGAAATTTTGAGTAGTTCGGAGAACCGGCAAATACCACCTCTGACTGGAGATTTTATAGTATCCTTCCCCTTCTACACCCACCAAGCAATGCCCACAGAACAGCTAGTAAAAAAAATTGAATCCCACCACTGATTAGTCTGGACAAAAGCAAATAGTCCGGATACAGTAGATGTAATCTAGATGTTGCTTTTTATTCCATTGCTCATAATATTTTGGTAGCAAATGTGGCATTTTCACCAAGAAACCATGCTTCCTTCATTTTATAGTATAATACACATAAAAACTCCAGTCATCTTATTAATAATATATTAATAATAAACCAAATATAATATTTGGTTCCTCAACCTTTATCAGTATTTATTACCTCTTTATAAATACATGGGATGAAAAACGAAAACTGCTCTTCTGCATTATTTGTGACCTTTTCAAAAACATATGAACACGAATGATTTATATTACATTGAATCCTGGTTCTGTTTACAGATACAGGGAATTTTTCAAAGCATTTTTGTAGTAAATGCTGCTTCCATTGGTATAGCACTAGCAGCCATAGCCCTTGGCTTCCAAAATCCACTCTCAAGATTTTAAAAAACATGATTTAATTGCTCCCTTCTCTTCCCAGGGAACCTTCCTCCAAGTTCATAAGAAATCTTAACTTCAAAATTATTAGCTCTATCTATTTTCCCAAGCCCTATTTGTCTTTGGCTTACTTCATACTATATGCTAAATGACCATTTAAAAGAGAGCTGTATTATGATGCTAGACTAGGAATGTGAAGACTCAGATACTGTTTACCGTTAAGCAAAGTAGCCAGCTGGGTGACCCTCCCTCTATGTCCAAATCCAAATTCCGCAACAAGCTGATTGATCATCAAAGACATCACATCATACATGGATAATTTTGCCATAGGAATTGGGCAAGGTGAATGCAAAAACAAGCAGTGCCAATAAATGTAATGATGCTATATAGAGTACATTGAACGAGGGCTTAATAGATAAAGCAAATAAGTTCCTGAAGGATTGTTGCTTAAACCAGTTTGAACATGGAATTAATAATATGGTTAAAAAATTAATTTCTTAGGAAATTTTCTTCCAAAGATACTTTTAATTTTAATTATCTATGCAACTGGGTGATAGAAAATACACAGAATTTATATCTCAATTATTGCTTGTGCCTTTTTTTTTTCCAGTTATAAATTAAATTGGTCTAGGAGTCTTGTTCTAAAAATAGACATTATCTTTCAACAGATCTTTTAATGATCATCTTCACAGCATTTATATTAGTAGTCATTACATCCTATAAAGTGTCCAGGTTGCACATTAAATAATCTTTACGAACTCTACATATTCTCATTGTCTTTATATCTTTATACACTGAGCAGAAAATAGTAAATGTTTTATTGTTTCTATTATTGTTATTATTTTACTTGCATAGTTTAGTAGTCCATGTGAAAAATGAGCAGAGATGCCAGTTTGCAGTAGATGTTACATACATTTCTGTGGGCTCTTTTACTCCTACAAACTTATTTCAGCTTTATGCTTTGGAGTCTGAACACCTATAAAAAATAATAATTGACATCTTTTCTTTAAATGGCAGAATATAAATGAATACATGGAAGTTATTCACACAGATCTCTCTCAAGTACAATCTCATTTTATATAAAATCTACCTAATTTTATATCTGGAATTCAGATATGCCACTCGTGCCTGTTTTTTTAATGGCTTTTCTGTTATGTCCCAAAATATCAAGCTATGGAGATCCAAAAGTTTACATACATGTAAAAAGAATTGTTTTGCGGGTTGAAAAAAAAGTTACATTTTACTTTTTACAGAGAACATTTTGCTTCAGTTTTAATGATCAAACCTTATCTCTATAGTCTCTGCTTATGTATAACTAATACATGTAGGAACTTCTTTCCAAAATGCAACAATTGTAGGGCACTATAAAACAAATGTTTAAATGAAGCACTGATATCATTACATATTCACTGTATGATAACTTCTTATAGGATAAAACAGAATCTAATAAATGCAAAATATTATTTTTGTTGTAACCTAAGATCTATGTTTTTGGCATATATGTTCACAACCTTTTCCATTTTCTAGGCAAAATAGGAATCTTTATTGGTATAAAGTTTGAAATTCTTTTATTTTTTTTAGCCATGAAAGTCTTCGTACTAAATCGGTTCAGCATCAACAGAAATTCATAAATGGCAACTTGGTTTGGGGAGGGTGTCAGGCTGTGTTCCATTCAAAATCCAAGAAAGAAATACTTAGACTCTTTTAATTAGAGAAAAGATATCTTTTACTGGAAATGAAGTGGTAGCAACGAGAGAATTCTGAATCTGAGGAAATAGGCGCGTAAATCACATATACAAAGTGATGGAGTTGTTCCCACCCCCAATAGTTCAAATGGTTCTTCCAATTAAAAGTTGTGAATGTCATCATGTGGACATCTTCAGGTGGTGATGAGGCCTCTGTCCGTTGACCTTGGCATAGTTTGATAAAGGTTTGCAGCTGCGCAGAGAAAAGAAAGCTAAGCGAGAAA